GCAAAACTAATTTGATGGTTATGTTTAAGAGCGCAATACGTTCCAAACAGTGAGGTAGTGTGCTCTGTGCTCTGGTGTTAACAGTCTGTTATAAATGATTTCAGAAATCTGCCCAACTCTTCACGCAGACCTCCTTTTTAGCATTAAGATCGAGCTGATTGAAAGTGAAGTCATTTTCTCTCAGCCTCATTCACATATCCTGATCACTTTTATGACTTGCTCTAACTGTGACTCTCAGTAGCACAGGCCACTCTAAAAGGGAGATGATGCCAAATTCAAACAAAATCGCTTTTCTTCTTCAAAGCCACTTTTTCTTCCCCCGTTCACAAAGTGGTATTGGTACTCACTTTAATGAGCCTTCTTCAAACTGCTCTGCTCTGTTCTTTCAGTTCAGCAGGATCATTTAGAGCCAGTGCGACAGACTCTGTCTGTTTGGTGGTATACAGACGCTTATTATATGGGGCAATAGAGGGTCTAAACAAGGATGATGGTCTGAAAATAAACAACACACACAGCATTGTTTACGAATGCTGTGCATGAAGATGAACTGGTCTTCTTCAGTGTCAGGGTAGGTGAGGGCTAAGGTACAAAATCAGCAGTGGTGTGTGTGTGTGTGAATGGAGGTGGGAGGCTTGTGCGTATTTGGGGAAGATGTAGGTTAATGGCTGTCTGTCCCTCTGATCTGAATTATTCATCCAATGGGGAGGCTTTTATGTGTCTCTAAAGAATCTCTCTTATTGGTTGATCAAGCTGCTGCATCCCAGAGCTCCACCTGCTTCTTCTACTTTTAGAGATTCATAATGGGCACTATCCACCTGAGCTCCCTCCGTGTGTGTGCATGTCTGCATGTGTTTGTACAATCCTGTAACCCCCTACAGAGCCTGACCCCTTCATGCCTTATACATGTTTTTGTTTTGCTGGTTGGATATGTGGATGCCTCTCTCCCTTAACGTCCTCCCTTTCCCATTTTCTCCCTCCTATTTTCTCCCCCACTCTAACTTCTCTGTCACAAACACACTCTCTCACACACAAACACACACACACACACACACACACACACACAAGCAATCTTTCTCTCTTTCTCATAGTCTCTTGTGTGTCCGTCTCGGTTAACGTGAGACCACCTCCACTGGGATGTTCTGAAACAACACACACCCTGAAGGGAAACACAAAAAACATAAATAATAACAAAACTCAACACAACTGTATGAAACAAAAACAACATAACTGTGAAATAATAATAATAATAATAATAATAATAATAATAATAATAATAACAAAAGGTTACAAGAGAGGTCAAGTAGCTGGTAGTGTCAGTGTCACAGAGAATATAATGTTGCTTAGTATTTGTTATTAAAAGTGTTTATTAATGTTATATTGTAGGGAGGAGAAACAACTCATGGTTTTTTATGCTTTTATAACTGTGTATTTTAGACATTTGAATCCAAGGAAATCATTCATCCACAGTTATTTGTTAATGACCTTGTGTTGTTTTTCCACCCTTCATGCAGCCAAATGTGAGTAAAACATTTTGTAGGTTAAGAAATCTAGTATTAGAAAAGGGAGGTTTAGTAAATTAACTGCATGTTACTCACAACACACCAGATCTTTTGTTGTCTCTATGCTTGAAAATCAAATACAGCATTTATCATATCTGGAACTATAGGCACATAGGATACAATTTACAAAAAGGCTACTGTGGTACTTCAGAAACTGTCATCAGACCCACGATCAGCACAGCAGTGTCAGTGATGAGGCCTGTCGTATGGTTGTGTTAAGACTATTGTGTTCCAGTTTTAGCTCAGTTGGTTGAGGTCCATCTGAGTGGGACTGTAAATTGTTTGAAAAACTGGAAGTCCCACACGAACAGCACTGCAGGGAACAAACAGGGACTCAAAGGCAACACCAGGAATCACCAGGCATGCAAGCATCTTTATCACAGTATAACACTGGAGTGAGCAATAAAATGTTGATATATAGAATAAACATAGTCTCGTTTCAGGCAATAGTCAATAGTAAAGGTAACCGTGAAGCAGGCAAATAAGATCTAACCAACAGGTACAGATAAACCCCCTTCAAGAAACTAGGTGAGCCTGGTTGTTGTGCTAGTTGCACTAGTCCTCACATCCTACACACCATCTGTGTGTGGGACACTGTCCATATATATATTTATGTATCAGCACTTGCACCAAAAGCATAGTTTTTTTTATAGAGCAGAGTAATTTCACAATGAAGTCCCTACTTGTTTGAAAAAAAAACAATGATTGACTCACAGTGGTGGTAAAGTGGCCTTTTACCAAAACATGAACAATAGACTCATTGATTTGAACTTCACTTAATAGCACTCAGGCCTCCCACCACAACCCAGTCCATGGTCACAGTCATACCCATATGTATTGTAACCTCATACAAGAAAGCATAAAGGGCTGTTTACCATATGGAATTGTTTCAGGTTTTTGCCACATCTATGTGCACACACATGCACACACACACACACCCACACACACACACATATATATATATTCATAAAACATAATCAGCTGCATGTTTTAGAAATTGCAGGCTGATACCAACACCTGGTCCGTCACTGGGGGGTGAGTCTGTGCCAGCCAAACATAACAGCCTTATCTGTGCCGGAGGATTATGCGTACATTACCAACCTGTCAGTTTATGACAGAGGCTGAGCCAGCCAAAATAAATAAAACCTGTTTGCTGAAGCTGACATTAAGGTTCGAATACATTCCAAATATCTGAGTGAAAATAAGAAATGTCACCAAAAAAGAAGAAGAAGAAAAAGTTTGTGTGTGAGGGAGAAGTGAGTCATGTCTGGCAAAACTTCAAACAGCTGAGCGGGGAGCGATAGAGAGAGAATAAAAGTCAGATTCCAGGTGTGTCACAGCAGTGGTTTCAATTTAATTTCATGTAGCAACTTTATGTCCTCAGGGTCTCTGTTACATCCCTACTGATTTCTGGCTGCAGCGCTTCAGATGTATAGCTAGAGCAATGAAAACACCACTTCTTCTCATTTGGACTACACTAATTGTTTGCCTTTATACCTCCCACTGTGTTTTAGAGGTCCAACGACTGACATTCAAGCATTTAGTTTAACAGTGGAGGCTCTTGTCTTAGGTAACTTGTCACCTTTCCCAGAGTGGGAGTAAGAGAGTTAAGAGGTCCACAGCTGCACTTGACTTTCTGTAATAACTGAAAATATCCTATAGCATTAAGTGCCTGGTGCTTTGCTCAAGAGACATATTCAGCGAAGGAACGTAAACGTGAGGGTATAAACATGAGTGTTGAATAAGATTTTTACCGTTTTCAATATAATAAGACAAGGTGTACTTTGAATAAAAGCTAGACTGAGACAGATATACAGGATGTAAATCATCGTGAATATGCAGCATTTTCCAAATTCTGATTATCTGCAATATATGTGCATGGCAACAATGACTTTAGTAACTCAGAAAAAGACTGTGATGAATTAAAAAAATAAAAAAGTCAGATGCACGACATGCCCATTCAATAACTCAAACTTTCCAGCTCAGGTCATAAAGAGCACACAACTTCCTCTGTGAATGTTACAAGTAAATTATGAGGTGCAGATTTGTTCACTAAGGATTTAGTGTAATTTTGCATGGGCTATGGGATGAAGTCCTTAAATTAGACTGAAATAATTAGTGTAACTCCTGTAGCTCCTATCCAGAAACTAATGAGGACCAGGGGTGAGGAGAGTCTGGGATAGTGGTGATATTCATCCTCCATTAGCATCTGTGTTTGCCTGGTTTGAAAAACAACACTAATGAATAAACATGCAATAGTGAAGGATGCACCCAGATTGCATTTAATCACACAGTAGCTGAAATCATGCGTATTATGTGCTGTCCCGAAACAATTTCACCACTGCTGCTGCAGTTCTGGGGGAGACGGGTGTGTAATTAGGCAGTGGAAATAAAGTCAGACCAGGCAAGTAATGGTTGAGTCGTCTGTCAGGGCAGGAATGTAAAGGAGAAAACCATTCGAGGCAGCTGACAGTTTATGACTGAAGACACGGTGATGTGAGCCAAAAACAACAACCTGCTTTCCCCTTTAAGCTGCGCCTCATCATTTCTGCTTAGTGGAAGCTGAGGCAGAAATTTGTAGATTGGCAGTAGACTAGAACTTAACAAGACAAAACCAACAAACTCATCACTAATACTATATGCAGTGACCGTGGAGACAATAACCGCACAGTGTGGTCCCCCTGAAGGCTTCCTGAGATTCCTTACATGCAGCCGTCACACAGTCACCTCATAACAAAACCACCAGAGACCCTCTTTCAGCCTCTAATTTGTACCAAGCTGCTAAGATGTACTGATTCAGCTGAATACTTGAGTGTGTTGGCGGTGTAGTCTTGGTGGATAAACAATCCCAGGACACAGCAGGGGAATGCAATATCAGAGCAGTTAAAAGGTATCACACAAGGTTTCCATATGATGGTTTATCCATTTAACAAAGCCAGAACTGGGTCAGGGCTCAAATTCACCACTGAAAAAAATACCAATATCAGTCCAGAAAAGTTACAGGCTCGGACTAGACTGCACAGTGTAAGTGGCTTTAATATTCATTGATGCCAGAAAGTAACAAATGTCAATGAGCTCATTCCAACTTTCAGAGGATGTCGCCAGAACAAACAACAAGTCAAAACTGCTGTGGTTCATCCTAAACAGAGCAACACCACCGAAGAAAAACCAAATCTGGTGATATCTGTGTGTTGTCCATTTACTTCCTGTCTCCTAAAGCTGTGAGTTTTCTATATAAAAGAGCAGTAATTCCCGCACTGTTGGTCTGTTGTGGATATAAACATTCTCACAGTAAACCTGGATCTCATAATCTGACCTCATGATCACGGTTGTAAATTTTGAAGAACTGAGCCAACACAAAAAATATTCACTGCTTCACTCATAATCCCAACTCATATCTTCAACTATATGCAATATTGGCCCCATACAGAGTGTTTTTGGGCGGCTGTGGCTCAGGAGGTAGAGTGGGTTGTTCACTAATCAGAAGGTCAGTGGTTCAATTCCTGGCTGCATTTTGAACTGCCTTTGGGCAAGACACTGAGGCCACACTTGCCCCCCGATCTGTGCATTGGGTGTGTGAATGAGTAAAAGCGCTGTGTAAATGTGTGTGTAAAAGGGCGAATACAACATACAGTGTAAAGTGCTTTGAGTGGTTCTAGAGACTACAAAAGTGCTATATAAGTCCACTTTGAACAGACCTGTAAATCTAGGGTGTCAGATGTTGAACCAATTGTAGCCTCGCCTACAGTAGCACTGGTCCCTCTGTGGATTTTCTCCCTCCACCATATACTGTGGACGAGCACCTGGTAAGAGGTTCACAGAAGCAGCAACTGGCTGGACATACTGTTCAATATTTCAAAACAAACACATTTTGCAACCTGCTGTGTCACATTTTTGATGCCCAGTATCTCAAAGCAGCACACCTCCCTAATTTAAAGTGACAATTTCATCCTCAAAAATCCAAATCAATGTCATGTCTGGCTGCCAATCATCCCTGTAGTCCTTGTAGGAGAAGTGAAGACGGATTTTCATTCTATGACTCACATTCATAAATAAAGCCAGTAAATGGGGCAAAAGATTTCTCAGCTGGTGGCATCAAGCTGCAGTAATGAACACTGGCTTAACGATTTGACGTCTTTTGTCTGCTCCATCTCAGTCTCTGCTGACTTTAGTCAGTCCCAGGTGTCGCTTCATGTTGCCATGTGTGTGTGTGTGTGTGTGTGTGTGTGAGTGGCTTATTCTTTTGTGTGTGCGTCTGAAGGTAGTGATTCACTCCTCTCCCAGACTCAGCTAGTAATAATGATTTAGTTTTAGAGCAGTGCAGGTTGGCAATGACGTAGGTTACCATGGCAACAGCATGCAATGGGCAACGGAAGTCGACCATGTCACGCTGCAGACCTTCTGACAACTACACGCGCACAGACACACATCTTCCGTCTGTATCTCCCAAACAGACGTCAGACATGATTTTTGTCTCTCACTTTCTCTCTGCGCACGCACACACACACACACACACACACACACTTATCACTTATCTTATCTCTGTAAGGACAGTCACTGTCATGATGTTTTCCCAAACACCTTACCCTAACCTTAACCATCATGGCTAAATACTGATACTAAATTGAATTTTCACTCTGATCTTAGAACCGAGTCTTCATCTCCAAACAGCTGTTTTTAGTTGTGAGGACGAGGGATTTACAAAAATGTGTTCATTCTGTAGGAAAAATACTTACATCCATCTTTACTACAGTATGTAGCATTTACCACACACAGACACACCCGCATGCACTTTAGCAGCCAACCACAGATCATTTGTCAAAGCTATAGGCTGTTTACACAGGAAAGTGTCAAGAAGCAGCTTGTTGTTCGGTGCTGCACACAACATTGGCCGGAGGATTTCTTTCACTTTTAGTTCATTCACTCTGATATTTTTGAACAACAATATCTGTCAACAATAAGACTGTGAAAAACACTGAGAAAATTATACATTGCATCACAGTAATTCACCATTTTCAAAATCCCTGAATCCATGAGACAGCTACAACAAGATATCAGACCATTTTCACCAAGCCATCATCATTTTCTTTTCTTTTCCTTTTTTTTTTTTTTTAATGAATGCATTTTGCAGCACAAATTTCCATTAGTACTGAAATGATATGTTGATTGACAGGATATTATTTGAGAAATATTTTCATAAGCAAATTAGTTTTCGTGTTTGATTTGTTAAATGTGAATATTTGCTTATTTTCTGAGTATCCGTATAAACATCCAACTTAATGCCGTTGTTTGGACAAGAGAAGCAAATTACGTTATCCAGGGCTCTGTGACTATTTTCTGCCAAGATCAGAGTATTCATTAATTAATCAAGACAATGGACAACAAATCCATTGATCATTAAAATAAACATTTCATTTGTGTATACGTGCACAAACACACACTTTTCCCCTCAGATTTGTGTGTACCCTCCGTCAGCATTTTCTCAGGACATACATCCTGTTCATGTCAGCCTCAGGCTGCTTCTTGCTTGGTTGTGAGTCTTTTGTGTTGTCTTATGTCAGCTAAGAAAACCCTGGGTAGCTCAGCAAAATTGTAGGTCTTGGCGCTGGACCATGGACTGGACCTCAGGAAACACAGTAATAAATCCAACTGGCTGCTCTCTGATGCTGCCAACACACAGTATGAGCTGGTGTACCAGTCGGGTTTGTTTGTTCTGGAAATTAAGACTCAGTTGCACAGGTATGAGCGTGTGCTTGTGCATGAGGAAAAACAATCAGGTTTCTGACTGACTGACTGTCTTCTGACTCTCTCAGAAACACAAACAAATATTAACTGAATACTTTTTCTTTGACAGCCTGTCACTCCAAGATTGACCCTGTCCCCCCCACCCCCCACCAACGAACGAACACATTTTCTCATCGGAGCTTGTTGTGAATTTGAAACCTTTCATTCAATGTGGCATATAGAGAATAAAATCCTCATCAGTGTATCATCAATCTGAAGATGAAGTTAATTTCTGAATGAGCTCAGTCGAGGTCACATTGACTCAGTTGTCCCAGATCCAGTAACTATCTATTATACTGATCTCCGTTTTCTATTGAGGAAACTAACAACTTCTGATAACCTCCTCGATGAACAATGCAAGTACATATTGAACATAAAGATAATCACCTCACAGCAGTCCTATCACTCAGATGCTTGATCTTTACTATAGTCTAAATATATCACAGTCACCTTGATCAATGTTTACGCACACACACAAAAAAACGAAATCCCCTTTGACTGTAACATCTGTGTGTTTAATCAGCATGTTCTCAGGAAATATGTTGGTTGTTATTTCTGGGCACGTAAGCTTTGTTCTGCTTCTTGTCTGGTTGTGAGTCAGTTTAAGAAAGAAAGAAAAAAAAAAACACATGGACAGCTCAGCCAAATTGTAGGGGTTGGCTCTGGACCATGGACCGGACTTCAAGAAACAGTAATGAAATGATGTGTTTCTCAAAGCCTTGAGCAAATACTGCCGTAGTGCACTGCTCTGAATACAAGGATGTTGTGAAAATGAAGACTCTCTGTGGGACGTGGTACAGGTAGGAACATGTGAAACAACTGATTGACAGTGTGCCTGTAAGACACGTACAACACAGAACAGAGGGCTTACTTTCGTGTCCTCTGTCTTTCTCTACTATTAATTCTCTCTCCATCCTTCACACACCTGCTTTTACCCTGTCACTCACGTACAAATTTCCCCTCCACACACACACACGCTGCAGAGCAGAGCTGCTGACCTTAGCATTAGGCCGTGATGGGAAAGCAGGGCCAAGAAGACAGAGGCATCCTGGCTCAGTCTGGACAGGCAAACGATCAATTATCCCATCAATATACCTCTATCTGTAGTGCTGTTCCCAATCACTCACTCTCTCTTTCTCTCTACCCCATCTCTCTTTTTACTCCTTCCCCGCTGTGCAGAAAATGCAGCACAGATGCACAAGTATACAACACAAAAAGCACCAGTCACAGTAAATGATATTGGCATGCATCTTTGCCAGCTCTCATACATATTCAGGAAAACTGGGGACTTCTCTGTGTGTACGTTTGTCTCTGAGCTTCTTGAGTATCTGCCTGAGTGCTGGGTGCTAGGTGCTGATCGATAGCGAAAGTCTCATTAACATTAGACCGTGTCATAAAGACATTCACTGTACTGCCAAGAAAAAGCCACATTGATGCAACATGCACACTGTGTCTGGCAGCAGTGACATTTACTGAGCGACCAGCGAGGCTCCGAACAACAACACACTGTCATACTGTCTGAGAAAAAAACATCACACTGACATGATGCACACGCATGTGCAGCGTACACACAAATGCCACAGGTGTAGACTCACATGATTTGGCCTGAGGTGTACTGACTTGTGATTTTACCTTTTTGACCTCCAGACTGTCATTTATTATATAACAACATGATCCATAGCTACATGCTGCTCATCTCCATGTCAGGTTTTATGTACAAGTTGTGGTAAAGATAAAGCTGCTGCTCAAAAATGTTTCTTTCTTCTCAACAATAGGAAGTACATTATCAGGAATAAACCTTTACATTTAAGTTATATTTAACATTTTTATATATAAAATCAAAAAGCTGAAGATGTTTCAATAAGAGGTTAAAACAAGCATCAGATCTGATAACATGATACCCAACTCCACGGCACATCGGCTCACTTTGCTTTGCTTTGTTATAAAATGTGCTTTTAAAAAATATTTATTCTGTAAATTAATTAGATTAACTGGCATGTGCTGGGCTCAAAATGACTTGTTTAGGACCTGAAACTCAAATAGCTTGTGTGTTTGCAACAAGTAACACACTAGCCATGATACATACACAAGAGAATCACAGACTACATTTTATTTCACAAACACTGACACATGTAAATCACTGTATGTGGTACATGTTGTAGATGAAAGTCTTTTTTCTTACTGAATACTATATTTACTGACCTTCACATAAAGATGAGCTCAACCTATTCTTGTTTCCAAGAGAGACACTTTTTTTTTCTCCAACTTGTTTTTTTCTCACCTCATGAATAAAATCTTTTTCATATGATGGTGGATCCCTGAATTCACTGGTAGTTTCATGGAGCAACAGTGGCACCCATGATATTAGCCAACACACTTGAGTAATGGCTTCATAATTGATTTTATTTATTTACTTATTCATAAAATACTTTCCAAGAAATTGCAGCTGCCGCCAGAAAACCTCACATCCCAGACATCAGTACACTCAGTGTCTTAAATATGTGTATTATATATGTATGTAGATAGGGCATATGCTGACTCAGCTTAAGGTTTCCTTGAATACACTTAAAGACCATTTATGTTCTCTAACATGCATGTGGGTGGGATGTAAAAAATAATAAAAAAAAAAATAACATCACTTAAATGCTTTTTTTCTTGAGTGGAGAATAATCAAATTCAAAAATGCTCATATTTCAAAATGAAAACAGATTCATAATCCTCAGCTGCG